TAGGAATGTGCGCTGTTAAAAATAGGTGGTACTTGATGCAAAGCAGAACATTTCCATTCTATAAAAAGCCGCCACAGAGAATATGTGAAAGATGCAGGCAATGGCAGATAGCCCTTCTAGCATGCTTTTCTCTATCATCAGAATGTGTGTGTGGGATATCTAAGAAGGGAGTGATTAATAGAGAGATGGATTAGTAGAGAGATGTGTGCCTGTCTGTGTGTGTGTGTGTGTGTGTGTGTGTGTGTGTGTGTGTTTAACTATGCTTGTGGGTACCAGAAGTCCCCACAAGAATAATAAACCTAGATATTTTGACCAACTGGGCACATTTTGTTGGTCCCCACAAGGTCAAATGCTATTTCTAGGGGGTTTATGGTTAAGGTTAGAATTAGTGTTAGGGTTAGAATTAGGTTTAGGGTTAGGGTTAGGAGATAGGGTTAGTTTTATGTTTAGGGTTAGGGTTAGGGTTAGGGTTAGGGTTAGGGTTAGGGTTAGGGTTAAGTTTAGGGTTAGGGTTAAGGTTAGGTTTTTGGGTTAAGGTTAGGGTTAGGGTTAGGGTTAGGGTAAGGGCTAGGGCTAGTGTTAGGTTTGGGGTTAGGGGTTAGGGAAAATAGTATTTTGAATGGGATTGAATTGTATGTCCCCACAAGGTTAGCTGTGCAAGACTGTGTGTGTGTGTGTGTGTGTGTGTGTGGTGTGTGTGTGTGTGTGTGTGTGTGTGTGTGTGTGTGTGTGTGTGTGTGTGTGTGTGTGTACGTGTGTGTGTGTGTGTGTGTGTGTATGTGTGCGTGCGAGTATGATTGCTTTGGCTAAATGAGCCCAGACTGTTTCATCACATTGTTTGCTGTAAATCAGGGGAAAATATTATGTTTTCATAACCTCAATATTGTAAAAACTATCCTAATATGGACTTTTGTGGGCAGGGAGTAAAAAAGGTGGACTTAGAATTGTCACTCAAGTTAAATGTGAGTGAATTAACTACTTTACAATAAAGTCTATAAAGTATTATAACAGTCTAGAAAGTATTATGAACCCTTATTAACTATTTACAGACCCTTTATAAACTCTTTATAAAGGGTTCTTTAAAATAAGTGTTAACTATTATTTGTTATTTTTGTAACTCAAGAGGAATTAACAAATTGATGGATTATTGATGTATTTGAAATATTTTTTCTATACAATTAAAAGTTTTGTAACAATTTCTGTAGTATCATGTTATGAACCACAAAAGTTAGTTAAGTAACAACTCACTTTTGATGATGTATTCGCTGGTTAGGAATGTCAGTCTATGTGAAGTCCACTGAGGTTTAAGAACAGTCAGCACACTGAACAAAAGATGAGTAATAATACATAGTTTAACCTAATAGCTTTTCACTCTTTATTCAATATGTGTGATTTCTGCCAAATGTCTTAAATCAAATGAGCTTACAATATAACATTGAGCCATGCATTACCAATATTTAGTAAAATGTATGTTTCAAATAAGATCACAAAACTTAGGAAGGTATTGTGCGATGTACTGTATGGAGAACATTCTATTTCAAGGCTGTTACCAGCTGTTGTAAACTCTCAAAAGGCTTTATATTACTTTGTTTGAGAAACAGACAATTGAGAAACTGCTTTTATAAAGACAGTGAGGGATCCAGTCACTGGAAATGTGGATGTAACCTCAGTGGCCTCTGTAGGCTTCTATAGCATGTTGCTGGGTCAGGGGTTTGAACAATGGAGCTAGGAATTCTTTAGGTTTGGTCAGGTATAAAAGAAAGGGTTAAACCAGGTAGGAATCAGTTCAGGAGCAGCAACCAGCAGCACAGCGAGCAAACATGTCCACCAGCATGAACATGGGCAGGGTAAGTTTAAAACCAAAATATATACTTTAATTTTCATAGATTATTATACAAAAGGGCTCTAGCACAACCAACTACAACATTACAGTTGAAGTGTGACTGAATAGCATTGCACATTTCTCTAAAATGTTTGTTTCATAAAACTGTTTAATTAATAGAAATTATCCCTTTTTATTTTCAGATTGTCTTCTATGAGGACAGGAACTTCCAGGGTCGTTCCTATGAGTGCAGCAGCGACTGCGCTGACATGTCCTCCTACCTGAGCAGGTGCCACTCCTGTAGGGTTCAGAGTGGCTGCTTCATGGTCTACGACCGCAACAACTACATGGGAAACCAGTACTTCATGAGGAGGGGCGAGTACTCTGACTTCCAGAGTATGATGGGAATGACCGATATCCGGTCCTGCCGCATGATCCCCATGGTAGGCCATATGATATTTAGTCTGCTGTTAACAGCCCCACTAGAAGTAGCTGTGTGAAGTCCATTATCACACAAATCATATTGACTCTGTGAGCTTTTCAACAGTTTGGTGTATACAGTAATTCATTCAACATATTCTTATTTCCTCCTAACAGCACAGAGGATCCTACAGAATGAGGATCTACGAGAGAGATAACTTCGGAGGTCAGATGCACGAGATGATGGATGACTGTGACTCCATCATGGACCGCTACCGTATGTCCGACTGCCAGTCCTGCAACGTGATGGATGGCCACTGGCTGATGTACGAGCAGCCCCACTTCAGAGGCAGGATGATGTACATGAGGCCCGGAGAGTACAGGAACTTCAGGGATATGGGCATGAGTGGCATGAGGTTCATGAGCATGAGGCGTATCACTGATATGTGCTAGATATATTATGTTGATCAAATAAAAGTGATTGGTAATCCGTAACAATTGAGTGTGCTACATCATTTCAATATTTTGTTTTTTTAGTTTACATCTGTAGGTATGATATAATATAGGCCTATTATATAATATATTTGACACCTGTCATTCGATAACTGATGTTAAGGGGGCATTCATCATCATCATTCAGACACTTCTATTTCCCAATAGTTGCTTTCATTTTTACCAGAAAGATATGCGTAACATTTAACTTGTACCCTATACCAGGGTATCCCAAACTCGGACCTTGGGCCCCCCCTGGGTGCATGTTTAGTTTTTTGCCCTAGCACTACTCAGTTGATTCAAATAACCAACTCATTATCAAGCTTTGATTATTTGAATCAGCTGTGTATTGTTGGGGGGGGGGGGTTCCGAGTTTGGGAAACCCTGCCCTATATCATAAAGCCAATAAAATCCACTTATAGGCATTACGTAGTTACTGTCAAAAAGCATTTAAATGAATGTCCTTTAGATGATAAAGAGGGATTTTGATGTTAAAACTATTGTATTAGTCAACTTGTAGAGCTAACAAACTTAGCTAATCATACACGTTGCGCTACTCCACAAACACTACTCTACTACATTGGTCTCCAACATCGAGCAAGTGTACAATAACGCTAATACATACTGGTACAATTTACTAAAGCTTTTCTCGCTACATCATTAACTCAAATTATGATGGTGCCAAGGTAATTGTCAATAAACAGAGTAAGAAAGTGTATGGTAATTGCATATAAAAGTAAAGCCAATCATCAGTGAAAAATACAGTCAAATCAAGACAAAATAAATACATGTAAATGAAGAAACAAAAAACGAATATAGACTTCAGTTTGCCTTTATTTGTGGTTGCACTACCACGTTTCATATTTTTTATTTTCACATTTCATGAAGACTTTCAAAAGCTCTCATTGGCAATTGAATTATTTGTGTTCACATACAAACATAAGGACATGCTCCATTAGTTGAAATCACCACCGTGCAACTGACTGTAATCTACTCATTGTTGGTCCAAAGCAGCAATATGCTGATGTTTAATGGCCTTGCCTCATTGGAAAACTGTGTACTTCTTCTCAGTCAAAGTAAAAAAGCCTTCAATAAATTTAGCTCAAAATAGAGCTAATTTCAATACACAAAAACTTGGTGTTAGGTAGATAACCTAAAAATGGGCAGAATAACAAGCTTTTGCTGCATCGATATCAGGCACACCATTGGCAAAAACTAAACAAGCCAAGAAGCATCTCTGATAAGACTGAAAGGCAGAAGCTCTACAGGATTCAGAGCAGTCTTCCATGATTTTTTTCATAGTAAAAATGTAATCACCCCAACCAAAATGCTATTGTCACTGACAAATATCAAGTATTCTTGTACACATTTTACAATGGCCTTCCCATTTAGCTTACATATTACAGTAAAGGTCTGTGGAAGATGTATCGTTTTAAGAGTCAATTGAAAATGCAGTATTAATGTGTGCTCTTTACTTTTTAATGACTGACTCACCAACTGTTGTTCTCACTTCAAAAGGACTCCTTGGCAACCACTTCATTTATTCACCTTTTGCTATTTCAAACTGGGGAATGCCTCCGAGCAATTTCTCCCCATAATTTTCAAACATTAACCTATTCAAACGCACATTGCCCTTTATAAGTCATAAACATTGAAAAGGTGTAAAATGGCAATTGTAAGTCGTATACCAGCTACAGACTTCCTTGTCTGACTTGTATACATCACTATGGTACCTCCAATGTAAATGCCATTCAGCATCATCACCACCTGAATCAATATGGATTGGATAAACCATCAGAAGTGAAATAATATTATCTTTACTTTATTTTTGACCAATCAAAAAGCATCCAGAGGGAACTCCATAAGTGGTGATATGAATGTGAAATAACATCAATTGCACAACAACCATCACGATTACATGACAATGTAAAATAGTATTCAGTGATTTGTAAGTTTTAAAATATATATTTTGTAACACTTATAGTAGTGTATAGGCAATGTTGAATTCAGTCCACCCAGTAATAAATAAAATGTTCTTGATAGCCATAAATATACACCCAGTGCAGCACTGCCCTCTAGTGGGTAATGTCCTCCAGACAAATGTTCAAAATGTATTAGACCCCTTCTCTTTTCATAAGCCTATTTTAACATACTGTATACACAAACAAGGAAAAATACATTACAATTCACTTTGTACATTTAACAGTCCTATGTTACATACAGCCCAAAAAGCATGAGAAGCACTGTGGGTAGTATGCTGCTTGTGCTATACTAGACCTTTATTCAACAGCATTATCTGCTCAGCAGCCTTCATACTGAGGCAACTCCTCTTTTTATTGAACACATCTCCAGCTTTGGTGAATATGCGCTCGCATGGCACAGATGAGGCGGGAACGCTGAGGTATTTCCGAGCCAGCTGGAACAGGTGCGGGTACACCTTGGAGTGCTTCTCCCAGTAGTGCATGGGATTCTCCACTCGGTTCAGGTACGGGTCACTGAGGTAGTGTTGTACCTCCACCGCTGCGTCCGCCGTGCTGCTCTGAACGCTCTGTGTCTCGCCCACTTTACTGTCAAACATCTCCCACAGACCCCCATTGTGGGACTTAGACAGAGATGTTGCCATGGAGATGGAAGCGGTTTCCATTGCCCAGGAGGTGGTGTGGGGTGATGTCGGGGAGGGCGTTGTCGACCCGGTGGTGGACGGCGGCAGAGTGTCATCCTTGTCCGGATTTATCCGGATTAATGAGGCGCACTCGGAGGTGAGGAGCTTCACCGCCTCCTGAGCGTAGCCTTGGTTCCCGAAGGCCAACATTTTGAAGCGCGGGTCTAGGAGAGCAGAGAGAGCTAAGATTGGCTCGGTCTCCACCATGCTGCAGCTCGTCTGAAGCTCTCTCTGTAGGTTAGACACCAGCTGTGTAGCCGTAGGGTGTATGATGGCACCGTGCTTCTTCTCAAGGGTTATCTTTAGCATCCGGACAAGAGGAATGACCTTGGAGGCCGAGACACGTTTCTCTGAGGCGAGCTCGGCTGTGGCCTGGTTGAAGGAACCCAGCACTCCGAGACACTGATGGATGACCTCGTAATCAGCAGATCCCAGAGGGATGATGTCCGTGTCCAGGGTGCTGAGAGCAGCCGCCACAGACTCCCTCTGGTCAAAGACACGTTCCAGCATAGAAAAGCTACTGTTCCACCTCGAGTCCACCTCCTGGATCAGCTTCTGCTCCGGCCTGCCTAGCTGGCCCTGCACCTCGGCTAACCTCATCTCTGCGTTCTGATTGGACTTGAAGAAAGCCACGATAGCCCGCGCTTGGGAGCGGATGTCCTGCAGCTCCAAAGTAGCCTCCATGGACCTCTTAATCACAAGGTTCAGGACGTGTGCAAAAGAGGGCAACTGGAGGATTCCTAGTTTCTGAACCGTGGCTACCATGTTGTCACTGGTCTCTGTGACAAATGCGGCGACCCTGCTGTGGAGGCCCCAGCTCGCCACCAGTTGGTTTTTGGCCTCCTCAATGTGGATCACTTTGTGGTTTTCAGGCAGCTTAGAAATCCCAAGGAGGAAAGTGGATAACTGGGCATTTTCTGCTACCAAATGCCCTGTCACTGAAATGTAACTGTGCTTGTCTATAGATGTCCACATGTCCGAAGTCAGGCTGACAAAGTCAGAAATTACCATCTGAGATACAACATTATCATTGATGAATTCACACCGTGACCCCACCATTTTCTTCAGTGCTTGCTTGTTTGGAAGATTGTAGCTTGGGTCAAGCTTTTGGACAAAAGCAGCGAATCCCTCTTCCTCGACTACTGAAAATGGCTGGGTGTCTTTAACCAACATGTTGACTAGGGCATCATCCAGGTCCTCTTGTCTGGTGGTCCTGACTGTGAAATAAAACAGTATAATCAATTCAAATTGAATTAGATGTACAATTAAAGCTAATCTAAATATAATAATTTATTTAAACTGGATGGACAACCATCTATTCCAAAGGAAACATACCTTGGATGTGGTGTCCAGCAGCAGCACTGTTTGTAAATATTGAGTTTAGTCCTGCAGTACCAGAGAACGATGAGTGGACTCCAGCACTACTAATTATTGAGTTAGAGAACGTTGAGTGGACTCCAGATGTTGAGTTGCTTGTGCTTGAGTGGGCACCAGATGTTGAGTTGCTGTACCAAGCCTCGCTTGGGTGCCTTGATCGTAGGTGCCTTAACATGGCTGAGGTGTTTTTGTTGAAGCTCAGCCGTTGTGAACAGAGGGAGCACTGGACCTTATTGGGTGTCACTAGAGTAAAATGGTCCCACACCAGTGAGAAGGCTCTCTTGAACTCAGTCATCGTCTGACCTGCAAAATAAAAAAGAAACTAACTTTATCAATCATCTTACCAAAGCAATGTAGTAAACAGATCGAAATGATTTTGGTTGCTGATGGGAAACAACTGTTACTTTGTGCAAATGATTAGGCTTGTGTGAGCTAACTGTACTAGAATCTGGTCCTTTGTAGCTCAATTGGTAGATCATGGCGCTTGTAACGCCAGGGTAGTGGGTTCGATCGCCGGGACCACCCATACGTAAAAATATATGCACACATGACTGTAAGTCGCTTTGGATAAAAGCGTCTGCTAAATGGCATATTATTTATTTATTAGAAAACTGTGTGGTGGGCATGATTTACAACACAAATAAAAACCTGAGGAAATTGATTGACTAGTTCTCTAGCTACATTTCTAGGAATCTGAACAGCGGTTGAGTATAGCTACCTAGTTAAATAATCCTCAAACAGGGCAGAAAGTGAAATCAAAAGGGTCAGGATTGGAAGTCACATAACGTTACACACAGACCCTCAGCTGACATGATGGGGTTCACACGTTAATTTACAACTCAGTGGGTTCACAACACGAAGCTAGGTCTGTACTAGCCATAGAGATCCATTCTAATGCCTAATTCCAAGATGCAAATAACTAGCTAACGTTAGCTAGCTGTGTGGGGTTTGTTGAGCAAGGCTAGGGTCTGCTGGACAAGGTAAATCTCGGACAAACAGCTAGGTTAGTGTCTGTGTTAGGCATCGTCATTCTATTTTAAGACAACAGCAGTGCATGGCTGCAAATATTAACTTACCTTCTTTGATTATTCGTAATCTAAAGTACACTATATAGTCATTGAAAACTGTGCGCTTCTGACCGCGCGATTTTACGATGTAGGTCGCAGAATCACGTCACTTCCGATTTTCGAAACGCTTGCAGCCAGTTGTGCTTGCCAGCTGTTTTGACCAGCTTGAGTAGAATGAGTGGGTGCGTTCGAGCGGATCACTTATGTCAAGTCACCGCTTTTCAAAGTGGATAGGCTATATACAAATTAATGTGATATTTGAGTCTCTCTCTCTCAGTAATTGATTGTACAATGAACACACGTATGATTTCAGTTTGTGAGTGTATGATATGGGGGTTGGAGCCATGTTTATTTCTACATTATAAAGAAACACTTTATTTATCGACACTACCATGTTTATCTGAGCCTTGCTGTTGGAAAACCACATTAGTGTCCAACTTTCGGCTGTCACAGATGCACCTCCCCAGACTTCACTCCTTGACTTTTGTCTACAATCGGTTGCGTTCGGTTGCTTTCGCCTTACTACTCAAACGCGCACAGTGTCTTTCTTACATTAGCAAAAGTTGCTTCAAATCTTAGTTTCAAATGTATTTGTTTTCATTCATCTATTGACAGTCTGTATAGTAAACTTTTGTTGCGGTCAGTCTTTGTGGTGGGACCGCTCAACCCAGACCCTATAGGCTGGGCAATTCCACGATAATGGAATTAGGCTTTGACTCAGATTTCTCACTTTAAAATGTATGCCTAAACAAAAACCGTTGATTTCAAAGTTTAACAAACCATACAATTCTATGCACAAGGACTACTTTGAACAATTTATACAGAACATTTCACAAAAACACATTCACTGGAAGTACTTTGCTGTTGCAAAGTTTGGTAACAGAATTATAGTAAAATCTCCCTGTTTTTTTTGCGACCATGTGTAAAAATAACAAATATCTGCTCCAAATTCAAATTCAAAGATGTCTGCAGAAAGAATGGGGTGTCAGCTATGACATGACTCCTTGAGTTTGAACACATCTATTTTGATTATTAAACTACAGTAGGTGAAGTGGATTTACATCCGGTAACATAATTACGGTAACATAATTACATCTTGGGTCCCTGATCTGTACTATACAGAAATGCATAATTAGGGAAGGGAAATCATAACGCTACAGCATGCAATGACATTCTGGACGATTCTGTGCTTCCAACCTTGTGGCAACAGTCTGGGGAAGGCCCTTTCCTGTTTCAGCACGACAATGCCCTGTGCATAAAGCGAGGTCCATACAGATATTGTTTTTCAAGATCGGTGTGGAAGAACTTGACTGGCCTAACAGAGCCCTGATCTCAACCCCATCGAACACCTTTGGGATGAATTGGAACGCCGACTGCGAGCCAGGCCTAATCGCCCAACATCAGTGCCTGACCTCACTAATGCTCTTGAGGCTGAATGGAAACAAGTCCCCGCAGCAATGTTCGAACATCTAGTGGAAAGCCTTCCCAGAAGAGTGGAGGCTGTTATAGCAGCAAAGGGGGGACCAACTCCATATCTACCACGCTGATCTAAAACACGGGGGCCACTCAGGGGTGCGTGCTTAGTCCCCTCCTGTACTCTCTGTTCACCCACGACTGCGTGGCCAAGCACGACTCCAACACGATCATTAAGTTTGCTTATGACACAACAGTGGTAGGCCTGATCACCGACAATGATGAGACAGCCTATAGGGAGGAGGTCAGAGACCTGGCAGTGTGGTGCCAGGACAACAACCTCTCCCTCAACGTGAGCAAGACAAAGGAGCTTATCGTGGACTACAGGAAAAGGAGGGCCGAACACGCCCCCATTCACATCGATGGGGCTGTAGTGGAGCGGGTTGAGAGTTTCAAGTTCCTTAGTGTCCACATCACCAACAAACTATCATGGTCCAAACACACCAAGACAGTCGTGAAGAGGGCACGACAACACCTTTCCCCCTCAGGACACTGAAAAGATTTGGCATGGGTTCCCAGATCCTCAAAAAGTTATACAGCTGCAACATCGAGAGCATCCTGAACGGTTGAATCAGCGCCTGGTATGGCAACTGCTCGGCATCCGACTGTAAGGCGCTACAGGGGGTAGTGCGTACGGCCCAATACATCACTGGGGCCAAGCTTCCTGCCATCCAGGACCTATATACTAGGCGGTGTCAGAAGTAGGCCCAAAAAATTGTCAAAGACTCCAGTCACCCAAGTCATAGACTGTTCTCTCTGCTACCATGTCTAGGTCCAAAAGGCTCCTTAACAGCTTCTACCCCCAAGCCATAAGACTGCTGAACAATTAATCAAATGGCCACCCCCCCTTCTGTTTTTACACTGCTGCTACTCGCTGTTTATTATCTATGCATAGTCACTTTACCCCTACCTACAGTGGGGGAAAAAGTATTTAGTCAGCCACCAATTGTGCAAGTTCTCCCACTTAAAAAGATGAGAGAGGCCCACTTAAAAAGATGAGAGAGGCCTGTAATTTTCATCATAGGTACACGTCAACTATGACAGACAAATTGAGAAAAAAAAATCCAGAAAATCACATTGTATGATTTTTAATGAATTTATTTGCGAATTATGGTGGAAAATAAGTATTTGGTCACCTACAAACAAGTAAGATTTCTGGCCCCCACAGACCTGTAACTTCTTCTTTAAGAGGCCCCTCTGTCCTCCACTCGTTACCTGTATTAATGGCACCTGTTTGAACTTGTTATCAGTATAAAAGACACCTGTCCACAACCTCAAACAGTCACACTCCAAACTCCACTATGGCCAAGATCAAAGAACTGTCAAAGGACACCAGAAACAAAATTGTAGACCTGCACCAGGCTGGGAAGACTGAATCTGCAATAGGTAAGCAGCTTGGTTTGAAGAAATCAACTGTTGGAGCATTTATTAGGAAATGGAAGACATACAAGACCACTGATAATCTCCCTCGATCTGGGGCTCCACGCAAGATCTCACCCTGTGGGGTCAAAATGATCACAAGAACGGTGAGCAAAAATCCCAGAACCACACGGGGGGACCTAGTGAATGACCTGCAGAGAGCTGGGACCAAAGTAACAAAGCCTACCATCAGTAACACACTACGCCGCCAGGGACTCAAATCCTGCAGTGCCAGACATGTCCCCCTGCTTAAGCCAGTACATGTTCAGGCCCGTCTGAAGTTTGCTAGAGTGCATTTGGATGATCCAGAAGAGGATTGGGAGAATGTCATATGGTCAGATGAAACCAAAATAGAACTTTTTGGTAAAAACTCAACTCGTCGTGTTTGGAGGACAAAGAATGCTGAGTTGCATCCAAAGAACACCATACCTACTGTGAAGCATGGGGGAGGAAACATCATGCTTTGGGGCTGTATTTCTGCAAAGGGACCAGGACGACTGATCCGTGTAAAGGAAAGAATGAATGGGGCCATGTATCGTGAGATTTTGAGTGAAAACCTCCTTCCATCAGCAAGGGCATTGAAGATGAAACGTGGCTGGGTCTTTCAGCATGACAATGATCCCAAACACACCGCCCAGGCAACGAAGGAGTGGCTTCGTAAGAAGCATTTCAAGGTCCTGGAGTGGCCTAGCCAGTCTCCAGATCTCAACCCCATAGAAAATCTTTGGAGGGAGTTGAAAGTCTGTGTTGCCCAGCGACAGCCCCAAAACATCACTGCTCTAGAGGAGATCTGCATGGAGGAATGGGCCAAAATACCAGCAACAGTGTGTGAAAACCTTGTGAAGACTTACAGAAAACGTTTGACCTGTGTCATTGCCAACAAAGGGTATATAACAAAGTATTGAGAAACTTTTGTTATTGACCAAATACTTATTTTCCACCATAATTTGCAAATAAATTCATTAAAAATCCTACAATGAACCCGATCGAACATCTCTGGAGAGACCTGAAAATAGCTGTGCAGCGACGTTCGCCATTCAACCTGACAGCGCTTGAGAGGATCTGCAGAGAATAATGGGAGAAACTCCCCTAATACAGGTGTGCCAAGCTTGTAGCGTCATACCCAAAAATACTTGAGGCTGTAATTGCTGGCAAAGATGCTTCAACAAAGTACTGAGTAAAGGGTCTGAATACTTATGTAAATGTGATATTTCCGTTTTTTATTTGTAATAAATGTGCTAACATTTCTAAAAACCTGGTTTTGCTTTGTCATTATGGGGTATTGTGTGTAGATTGATGAGTGGAAAAAACTATTTAATCAATTTTAGAATAAGGCTGTAATGTAACAAAATGTGGAAAAATGCAAGGGGTCTGAATACTTTCCGAACACACTGTATATTTGTTGTCTTTATCTGTTGTGGTCTAGTGCTGTCTTTTTGCTAGCTAGGGCCATCTACTTTAAGTACTGCCTGTCTTCCCAGTGGCCTACTTGGTGTGTGAACTGCTGACTGCTCATAATTTGCAGATAGTTGTTGACACATCAACCAGGATCAAGGGGCAGGGCAATTTGTGACTTGTTTTGTTAATCAGTGGCTGTATTGGAGGGGGAGTGGTTTCATCTCTTTTCTGAGTGTATATAACCATCTCAGTGTGAGTCCCGGAGCCAGAACGTCACAGTACCCCCCCCTAAAGGCGCGGACTGCGACCGCGCCTCACAACCCCACAATAGGGGAGGGCTGGGTGGGTGTTGCTCCCCGGAGGCGGTTCCGGCTCCGGGCTTGACCACCACCCCACTATAGTTCCTACCCGCTTTCTTAACCTCCTCCCCATGACCACCCTCCACTTAAACCCAC